GCTGTTACATATCATCAGCTGGGCAGATGGACTGATGCAGAACAACTGCAGGTACAGGTGTTAGAGGCCAGGGAGCAGATCCTAGGCACTGAACACCCAAACACTCTGAGAGCCAGGGCCAACTTGGCTGGCACATATTGTCAGCTGGGCAGATGGACTGATGCAGAACAACTGGAGGTGCAGGTGTTAGAGGCCAGTGAGCAGATCCTAGGCACTGAACACCCAGACACTCTGAGAGCCAGGGCCAACTTGGCTGGCACATATTGTCAGCTGGGCAGATGGACTGATGCAGAACAACTGGAGGTGCAGGTGTTAGAGGCCAGTGAGCGGATCCTAGGCACTGAACACCCAGACACTCTAAGAGCCAGGGCCAACTTGGCTGGCACATATCGTCAGCTGGGCAGATGGACTGATGCAGAACAACTGGAGGTGCAGGTGTTAGAGGCCAGTGAGCGGATCCTAGGCACTGAACACCCAGACACTCTGAGAGCCAGGGCCAACTTGGCTGGTACATATCATCAGCTGGGCAGATGGACTGATGCAGAACAACTGGAGGTGCAGGTGTTGGAGGACAGTGAGTAGATCTGAGGCACTGAATGTGCAGACACTCTGAGAGCCAAGGCCAACTTGGTGGTGCAGGTGCTGGAGGTTGGTGAGCTGATCCTATGCACTGAACACCCAGACACTCTGAGAGCCAGGGCCAACCTACCTGGCACATATCACCAGCTGGGCAGATGGACTGATGCAGAACAATTGGAGGTGCAGCTGCCAGAGGTCAGTGAGTGGATCCCAGGCACTGAACACCCAGACACTCTGAGTGGCAGGGCCAACTTGGCAGGGCCATATCTTTGGCTGAGTTGATGGATTGATGTAGAACACCTGGAGGTTGTCATGTATTATTATGTTTTTTCTTGTTTTTTCACTGCTTTTTTTAAAGATATCACTAAAAACTTTAGTTAAATGTATTTATATCATGGTAAATTTAGATATCCATTATGGTCCTGATTTCCCCTGAATTTATAATATTTACCTTATCTGTGAGCACAGTTAATCCACAGAATCATGAGATGACATGTAGTATATGCCCCACCTCTGTCTGTGCAGAATATGGAGGGTTGCTTACTCTTTTTTGACTCTGGTGGGTTTCTCTTTAGATGTAATTGCCATAGAGGTAGTTGCCATATGAGGCTTGGAAGAGTTTGCTTTGATAATGCATTCAGAAAACCTTGTGTCCACCTTTTCCACAGAATAGGCAGAGGTTGTTATCTATGTGTCACTGTTTCTCCTTGGGTGTGAGCTTTCTGTCAGAACCTAACAAATGAGACATGTCAGGTTTTTTGGAAGTCGACTGTTTGCCCTTATTATTACAATATTTGTGGATTTTTTGTCATTCTTCCAGTCAGAATTAGATTTGCCCATATTATTATTGCCAGAATTGTTTCCAGAAGACTTGCTATTTGATGCCTTGTTGTTTTGAGAACATTCCATCAGATTTTCTTGGGAAATTTCAGCATGACATTTCCAATAGCATGTATCATATTTCTGCACTTTCATCCACATGAGTTGGTGTGAAGAGTTGTGGAAGTTCTAACCATTCTATGTAAGAAGAATATCAACCATTTAGGTATGAGACAACTATATATTGACTATCAAATTACAATATAGAAGGTAAATAACCTTAGTCAACTTTAGTGGTAGTAAGATGACTAAGATGACTAAAAGAAAGGGAATTGACCTTGCAGTACGATTCCCTAGTAACAATGTATTGACTATCAAAGTGTAATATAGAAAGGAAATAGTTTCAGTTAATCTTAGCAGTAGGACTACTAAGAAAATTAAGGGGAAATGGGATCAACCTTATGGTACAATGTTGGAATTTGTGGTTCAGAACATTATGTACCCACATGTATCCATAATAGTCCCTATCCATGTCTGTGACTCTGTCCAGTATGCAGTCATCTGAGTTCGGTTACTTCTGGTAACCAGTCTGTGTCTGTGTCCGAGTGGTGGTCTATTTGTCCACTAGGGTCACTATTATGTGCCCCGATCCCCCTTCTATTCTATCCTTTTAACATACAATTCCCTAGAATGAGTCAATGAAGTAATGAGTTGAAGGGGAGGAAGGATGATTCGAGTGACACAAGATGCTAGTGGAAGTTGATAGTAGTCCTAGTGTTGACTATACAGTTTGAAGCTAAATGGTTGTCATAGATTCAAGTTGGAAGCCATTCAAAGATGGCTTGAGATGATCCCTCAATCACAACTTACAGGACACTAGAAAGGGTGTCTGGGTAAGTCATGGTTACAAGGTAAAAGTGTCTGAGTTTTAACTATAGGTGCTAAAGTACATACGTCCATCAGATGCTAATTGCACAAAGAACATCTGCTGTCGCAATTTCGCTGACAACAGACCCTGTTACAGAGCCTGCTGGCCCGTTTGGAAACCATAAATGTGATAGTCCTCTTGTGCTCGCTGATAGCCTTTTGAGCGCGATGAATGAATTTGGATCAAGAGCGACGTTTTCTGTGAGTATCGAAAAAGAAACACCAATACCCTAACGGAACAAACTCCCTTGAAGATGCGACATAGCTAATTTGATAAGACGTGATTCGACGAGAAATATATATGTAGGGAAGGTGTAAGAGATCTAAAAGCCTGGAACGCTCAAATGGCGGCAAAGGTAGGTGCTCCCGTCTTTGGAGCGATTGGTATGTCTCGTCTCCCCTTGAAATATATTCCTTCCCCAAATTACAAAAAAAAAAAAAACGTTGCCCTCATTTTTAATCGAACATAGATCTGAATGCCTTCCTACATCCAGCGATAGCGCCCCAGTCAATGGCTTTCCAAGAAATGATACGACCACATCGCTCGACGCGCAATGGGTATTTGACACACAAAGTGCAGGATGGAAGGTTAGCTTTTCAGTCAGCTTCCTGTTATGTATACGGCCTTTGACCCCTGATTTAGCGATGGATCCATTCTAGGCAGCAAATCAGCTCGACCATATCTCCGGATCATACAGCGTAGTTATTAAGGATCTTAACCTCCGGTTTGCAAATTCTCGCAGCAACATTTTTTTCAGTCTAATGGGAACACAGACTTATCTCTATCAACACTCAGTACTGGTATTACGACAGTCTCTGAAGATATTGAAGTTCGTATTAAATAAAGCCCCTTTCTAGGTATCCTTCAAAGTGTGCTAATCAGCTGCTTTGCTTTCCAATCGAATCATTTAATTCACCTCAGTTTCTGGTTGTATGACACTGACAACATGCCGTAAGTTTTACAGTACATCTATAAACCATTCGCTCATGTCGCTCAGTGCTGATCCAAATGGCATCATGGCATTCATCGTCATCGTGGATCAACTCCAAGCCGCTGAGGATGCAAACGAACGTGCTTGGTTATTTGGACATATTCCTTTGGGTACAGCCGACATATTCCATAATCAGGTTAGTAAAGAGTGTTTCGGAGATGATTTAACGACTTAGCCTTGATAACTGATATTGAATTTTGGAAGTCCAATTACTCAGACCAGATTGTGCAACGGTATAAACGTACAATTACAACGCATTTTTACAGGCATAGTCACAAGGTGTGTTTATACATCATCTGCCTCACCTTCGTGTTATGAATTATCTTACCCCTTGGTAGGATCAATTTGAGATCACGTACTCAGACTATGACAACCAAACGGTGGAAACGGCGGATAGCATTGCTTTTATTGGTCCAGCTTTGACGCCTACAAGTGGGATATTTTTCTATAATGTTGATGGGAAAGGGATACTCAAGCATGCATATAACATAGGTGGCAATCCTGCTTTCAAGCTATACGATATTGATCCGGATACGCTGGAAGTTATGGATATGAAAGTGTTCATCAGTGCGTCCAGAATGAGATGTAACCATTCCAACTGTTCGAAATCCTGATACTGCCAAAGCAAACACCTCTGATCCAAATTTCCAAACGAAACGTGAGCCTTGTTTTAATCAATTACATGGATCTTATCCTCTCTTAGCAACCTGGCAATTCTACTACTCTGCTCGAAAGTCCTATGGCCCCCTCACTACACCGCCGCTTGCCGGTAGCTCTCCCCTTGACGCTGCATTCTGGTACATACTCACGGAAGTGTTCGAGAGCAATAACACAGCATTTCAATTGTTCAATGAGCGTTTATCACGAGGGGGAGATGTGCAACAATGTGATGATGAGGGAGGATGTAGAAATACGACGATTTGTGATATGAGGGTATTGAGGTGAGTGGACGGTATTGTAGACTTTGTGCTTTTTGATCCATGTCTTTACCAATATCAAACAGATCACAGAATAAGGGCGCATGTTTATTTATTTTTGCACCTTGTGTCGCGAATGACCTACTAAACAGGATGTTCCGGGTCCCGGCTTCGCGCTCAAGCGTGACACTGAATTTCAAAGGCACAGAACTTCGGAGCAGATGGAATGCGAAGGCAGCAGTGCTACTGTACAGCGATTCTCGGAAGCCGTGTTTCCGGGGCTGTGGTGAGCGCGGTTCTTCTGTATTAGCAATAGCCTGGTTCTAAACTTTTGCGAGACAGCCCGGAGATATTAATGAAACTGTGGAACAGCGCACAAGGGGTGCTATTACTATGGGTAATAGTCGTAAGGTTGCGGGTTTGACGCCTGCGTGAGGCTATATTTTTTGTATTTTCTTAAATCACGGGCTCCTTCCTACCAACAGTTACTATTGATTGAGCGAGATACATATATCTCTTTTTCCAAGCGCGTGAAATATTTTTAAGCATTATGGAACCGGCCATTGAGTACCAAACATGCATATCCATCGCTATGTAGAAGCTCAAAGTTCGCACCAAGATATATTGACTTGTGAATTTATCTTTTTGTTACTGTATACACTGGTACAACAAAATTAGGGTGTAGTATGACAAATAAGTCTGGAATAAATACCAGGTTCGAATGCAGAACGTTACAACGGTGGTGTCCTGGTTCAGAATGTAGGTATTATCGGTAGCTCAATCGGTAGAGCGTAAGATTCTTACAGTCCCTTTGACCGGGTGAGAGTCTTAAGGTTGCGGGTTCGACTCCCGCGTGAGGCTATATTTTTGTATTTTCTTATATACCCGTAGTCTAGTAAGAAAAAGTTTCTCAGCGATTCTATCGACGCTGAAATACTCAAACTGCTATTATATACGGTTGGGTAGGCCGATGTTTGGGAGCGGAAACCGGGCCCGATAACTTCTGCGGACAGCAACACGGGTGTGTACTATAGACATGCGTAGACTTACCGAGTAGCATCTCCAAAAATGTGTACAAGTTGCACCTGGCATCCTTGTTTTAGCTCTGATCTGTTAGCCGAGTCCCTAGACTAGTTCCATGCTTGAAAATATTTCACGCGGCGGGAAAAAGAGATAAATATCTGGTTCAATAAAAACTTTTGGTAGGAAGGAGCCCGAGTAAAAACATTGCCTCGCACAGGAATCGAACCTGCGGCCTTCCCGGTCAGAGGGACTGTAAGAATCTGACGCTCTACCATTGAGCTAACAAGGCACCTGGTCGCAGTCACATTCTAACAGATACTGAACAACTACACCGTTGTACACGTTCTCCATTTGAATCCGCTACTTTTTCCCTCATTCTAGACTCATTTGCCAGTAATTTCGTTGCTAGTATATACACTAACAAACGATAAATTCATAAGGCTAAGTCAATTTATCGTGGGGTGCGAACTTTTAGCTTCTACATAGTTCTACGTATTTGGTACTTAATGGCTAGTTCCATAATTCTTAAAAACATTTCACGCGCTTGGAAAAAGAGATATATTACCTGGTTTCTTGGTAGGAAGGGAGGGGCCCGTGACTTACGGAGTAAAAAAAAGTTTGCCTCGCGCAGGAATCGAACCTGCGGCCTTCAGACTCTTACCCGGTCAGAGGGACTGTAAGAGTCTGACGCTCTACCGTTGAGCTAGCGAGGCCTGATCGATAGCAACTACATTTCCATCCTGTTAGAATAATTTTAAGCATTACCAAATATGCACATTATTGAAGTTCAAAGTTCGCACCAAAATATATTGATATCCTCATGATTTTATTGTAAATACTAGTCGGATGGCACTTGCACAACGAAATGAAGCAGAGTACCAGACTTCCCTCGCTAATTATAAGTATGAGGACGTGTGCTTAATTGGCTCTAACTTCTTAGATCAAGATGGAGGACCACGGAAGAAATGCTTCCTGTGAATGCCTTTTTCCGTTTCGAAAACTCACCAGACCAGTTCCATAAGATGTTTCCGCAATTTAAACGACATGTAACCGTCGCGAGTGAATTATTGAAACCTGTCACAATGCCTTTCCTGTGGTGTGGGTATAACAAGGTAAGACACGCTCGCCCAAAGCCTGCATCAACCCGACACAAACAAAATAATATTTAACAAGTGATTCTTCAAACAGTGCGCTTGTAAATATTGGCGATAGGCGACTCATGTCACGATCATCTCCATAGAACCAACCTACATTATACGATCGATATACACCAGTCGTTGCCAGGGCATGTCGTCACGAGACCACTGGGAAAACCCAAAACAAAAAAGTGGCATGAGTAATCGGCCATAGTTACGCAAATAATACAGAGAAAATTCAGAGACTTGAATGGTTCCCGGAGGAATTCACCCCAGCGTGCCCTGAGGCACGTCGCGACTTTGCACAGTTGTGCATCCTGCAAAGGGATAAGAACGAGATGCTCACCGAGGTGCCGTTATGCGGAAAGAAGGGGATGGGGAGAGAGGATGAAGACGAATTTATGCGGGTGCAATTTTTTAAGCTCAGCCATTGATATAGGCGCTCGTCCCGACAAGTATACGTGTGCAAATCCCTGATGGAGCCGAGGAGGCCTCTCCACCAATACTGCATATATACTGAAGCCCCGGTAATAAAATCGATTCGATATATTTGAATCTGGAGACAAACAGAGTGTGTATGTTTTTGGTTGTTCTCGCTGAGCTAGCATATATCACCCAGAGGCGCTTAGATTCCATGTCATGATGCGTCATGATCACAAGTTCTGACAGGCCAATCGTTCTCAAGCTACAGATCACTGAGGAACTGGCAGAATCTTATATAGACTAGACTGTCTTAGTTGTGCAGTGTATAGCGTCATGAAATAATGTCACATGACTTGACTTCATGCTTATTAGAACCATTTATCCTTGCCTCAAATCACCACTGCCTTCTAAGCGACTACTTCACATGGCCTGGCGCAGTTCTGGAACCAGCAACACCGAGTTACTCGAGAACATGAAGAGGAATGGACTATTAACGTCAGATAGAGTACTGACAGTATGTGTCCATGACATTCCATCCATGGTCCGGCTAATCGTAGATGTTGTGCCGCTGCGAGAAGGCGATGAAGCAGGTAGACCGGGCCAATTACGTGCTTAACAAGAGAGACGCATACCAGGACTCGCCACAGTACGTCTCGTTGTCTTGATTTAATATACGCACAGTACCGATATACTCGATCGCCTCAAAGGTCCATCAGCTACGGTGCCACGATTTCTGCTCCTCATATGGTGTGTGATCCGATAAACTCTCGATCGATGAATCTCAAATGATCCAAGCACGCGCACGCTGCGGAGAATCTTCTGCCCTTCCTCCAGCCGGGGTCTAAAGTATTGGACGTTGGGAGCGGGAGTGGATATACGTGTGCCGTATTCTATCACCTCGTTGCGCCGCGAGACGCAGATAAAAAGGGGAAAGTCGTTGGGATAGATCACATTCCTGAGCTGGTCGAATGGTCCGTCGAGAATCTCAAAAAGGACGGTCTTTCCCAGGCCATGGATGCAGAAGAGCTGGAAATGGTGGCAGGAGACGGTAGACAAGGTTTGAGGAAGCGTACATTGTTTATGGATTCTCTGAAACAGGATAATTTTTAGGCTATCCATCTGCAGGTAGGACACGTGGAAAGTTCTTGTGATGGCGACGTTAGCTAAGAGAGATGACAGGACCGTTCGAAGTGATTCATGTTGGCGCGGCGGCACCCACACTCCCGCAAGCGCTGGTAGACCAATTGGCAAGCCCGGGACGCATGTTCATTCCCGTTGGGAATTATTCCCAAGACATATTTCAAGTTGACAAGGATAAAGAAGGACACGTGACGCGGAAGAAATTGTTTGCAGTCCAGGTACGCATTCGGAAAACATGGACTGTGAACCCATTCACATCTTATATATCTCCAGTATGTTCCATTGACAGACAGGGAACGGCAGCACAGTTAGCTAGCGACCTCGACCTCGATGTGATCTCGAGTACCTGCTTAGTGTGATATACATCAATTAATGGTGTGACCTTGTGCCATCTTATATTGATTTTTGTCCCCTCGTTTGCCCTTACTTTTCTGTAATGATACCTGAAAGTTTAGACGTGGACCTACTACTCAGGAATGCATTCACATTCTAAGAAGGCCTAGACTCGCCGGGTGTTTCCTTGTAGTAATGCCCTGGGTCGGATAATAGTATGGATGGAGGTATTCCGGAAGGAAAAGCCCGGGAGGAATGCCAACTTTTAGGGGCTGCAGTCTACGATGGGACACACGAATATTGCAAAAAACAGTATTAGCCCAAATAGGCATCCCAGAGGCTCGCGGAATCAAATTTAATTAGTCCTTCTGAGACTACATTTACGACGTAATTCAATTGTGTAAACTCTTATTTAATCCTTTTCTTTCTCTTCATTACCACCATCGACAGTTATGACACCATCGACAGTTATGAACACATTTGCTGAACCCTATACTCGCAATGAGGACGCAAAGTCTCTGGAAGAGGTCCGTGAGGCTATTCACCAGCTAGAAGAGTCACACAAGGCCAGAGGGTGTGCGCTGTCTGGTCGTATCATCCAAGTCACCCATTACCTACCTATCATAGGAACTATCTCCAACAAGTCCGGTTCTGCGTTACCCAGTCCACCAATAACCCCAGAACTCTCCGCATCTCCTCTTAATGACGGTCTCCAGGACTTGCCTATATCTCTGCAGCCCCTCTGGACTTTGTCTCCCCGCGCTGGTCATGACGCCTTGGTCAGCGGCATCCGATCCCTCTCCGCGACACACGAACAAGTCATTGTGGGCTGGACCGGCGATATCCAAGCCGGCAAGGATGGTCAGGCTATTCCAACCGATTCCTTATCTGACCAGGATAGGCGTTCTTATGACAAGGCCCTCGCTGGCTACAAGAATGCGGACTCTGAAGAAGTCAACAGCTCACCTCCCCACGAGAAGCCGACATCCTACAAGAGCGTCTGGCTATCGGATAAAGTCGCACATCGGCATTATGAGGGGTACAGCAAGCAAAGTGAGCCCCTACGCTATTACCACACTATTACTTTGCGGCATTGAATATATTTAACCAAAGCTCTGTGGCCCCTTTTCCATTATCTGCTGTGGCAGGACGTTGCTTCTGAAGCTACCATGGATGATCTGGACTGGGAGGCGTACGTGGCGGTCAACACCGAATTTGCCCAAGCCGTGCTGTCCATTTACCGTCCGGGCGACCTTGTCTGGGTACATGACTACCATCTTCTTCTCTTACCGAAGGTCTTCCGTCAGCTTGTCCCCGATGCGCACATAGGATTGTTCGTCCACACGCCATTCCCCACCTCCGAAATATTTCGCTGTCTGCCCAGTAAGTCGAATTCACGCACTCTGATACTTTAGAACGCCTCACGCCTCTTCCTAGGACGCAAAGAAGTACTCGACGGTATGCTTGGCGCGAATTTGGTGTGCTTCCAGGTGGACTTGCGATGCCTAATCATTATTATTGTTGTCATTGCTGATTTACCCTAGACATATTCCTACAGTCGTCACTTCGCATCTACTTGCATTCGTGTTTGTGGCTACGAGTCGACGTCTAAAGGCATCGAGGTTGAAGGCCACATCACGAGTGTTATGCATTGCCCTGTCGGGATCGATGCAGAGCGCGTATCGCGGGATACGTAAGTAGTTGCACTGTGCTGGACAGAATTCATTTATGACATTGATTACAGCTTGATTCCCGGAGTTCAGCCTAAGATTGTTGCATTACAGAATCTTTATCAGGGGAAAAAGATCGTAGTCGGCAGAGACAAGTTGGACGTCGTGAGGGGTGTTTTACAGAAGGTTAATTGCCCCTTCTTTTCGTATACCCCTCGCGCTAATGAGACTTCAGCTACGCGCCTTTGAAAAGTTGCTGACGGATTATCCTCAGTGGCGCGGCAATGTATGGATGTCTTATTACAGTTGAACTGATATTTATAGTTTCATATTAGGTGGTACTCATCCAAGTAACTTCGCCTTCGACATCGGACTCTAGCAAACTTGAGCGTCAAATATCCGAATTGGTTGCTCATATCAACGGCGAATTCGGGTCGCTTAATTTTATCCCCGTCCACCATTAGTAAGTGTGGCTCAGATATGCCAAGCCACGGGTCTAACCGGGTTGCAGCCACCAAACGATCAAAAAAGACGAATTTTATGCATTATTATCCGCGGCCGATCTCGGTATTATTACTCCGTTGCGAGATGGGATGAATACCACATCCATGGAATTTGTCATAGCCCAGGAGAGGTCGTACAGCAGCCCACTCGTTCTTAGTGAATTCATGGGAATTACAGGACACATGAAGGATTCGCTGTGAGTCCACAGCGTTTGTTCTATTTTAAGGTATCATAACTGATCGAGCTGGAATTTCTCAGCCAAGTCAATCCTTGGAACTTGGGAGTAGGTCATCAATTTAATTTACTGGGAATAAGATTTGATTGTTGAATTGCAGGAAGTCGCTGCGGCTATAAATCGCGGCTTATTGATGTCCGACGCGGAAAAGCGCAAACGCCATGCAACATTGTATAAGGTAGTGACGACGCATACTTCTCATCACTGGGCCGCTGTTCTCGTCAAGATGCTTCTATCTCAAGTTTCACAGGAAAATTCCGCGCATCACACGC